CACCCAGATACCTGGGAGTCACTCTGGACCGTGCTCTGACCTACAAGAAGCACTGCCTGAACATCAAGCAAAAAGTGGGTGCTAGAAACAATATCATATGAAAGCTGACTGGCACAACCTGGGGATCACAACCAGATACAGTGAAGACATCTGCCCTTGTGCTTTGCTACTCTGCTACTGAGTATGCATGCCCAGTGTGGAACACATCTCACCACGCTAAAACAGTGGATGTGGCTCTTAATGAGACATACTGCATTATCACGGGGTGTCTGTGCTCTACACCACGGGAGAAATTACACTGCTTAGCCGGTATTGCACCACCAGACATCTGCCGGGAAGTGGCAGCCAATAGTGAAAGGACCAAGGCAGAGACATCTCCAGCTCATCCCCTGTTTGGGTATCAGCCAGCACGCGAACGACTTAAATCTAGATATAGTTTTCTAAGATTTACAGAGACACTCGCTGGAACATCTCAGCAAGCGAGAGTCCAAAAGTGGCAGGCTCAAACCCAGCACCTCAACCAATGGCTGATACCCAATGAGAGACTCCCTCCTGGGCACACAGAAGACTGGGCGACTTGGAAGGCGCTGAACAGACTGCGCTCTGGCACCATGAGATGCAGAGCCAACCTTCAGAAAAGGGGCGACTAAGTGGAATCCTCGACATGCGAGTGCAGAGAAGAGCAAACCACTGACCACCTGCTGCAATGCACCCTGAGCCCTGCCACATGATGCACAAGGGAGGACCTTCTTGCGGCAACACCAGAGGCACTCCAAGGGGCCAGAGACTGGTCAAAGGACATTTAACCAACTACCAAACTCACAAGTTGTGTATTTTTCTGTTTGTTTGCTTTTTTCTGTTAGAAATGTAATATAATGGACTGGTTGCTCTGACACGACAAATAAATAAGGTAAACTTCATACACACACGTGTGTGTATATATATATAAATGTAATGTTAGTTTGTGGGATTAACATAACTCAGAAACCACTGGGCGAATTGACACCAAATTTGGGCACAAGACACCGATTAGGTCAATGAGTGACCATCACTCATAAAAATACTGAAAAACATAACAGAAGGGATTTAAAAAGCCAAAAACTGAAAAATACACTTACAACACATGCACAAAACATGTGTGTGTATATATATATATATATATATATGCGCAAGCATACATATATACACACATACACAAATATATACACATACACAAATATATACACACACAAAACACATGTACACAGACTAGGCCACAGCAACGTGTGGCAGGGGATGGCTAGTGTGTACAGATATGAAGATTCCCCTCACTTCCTGCTGTCTCTTAGCTCCGTTCTTAAGTAGGAGTTGTTTGTAACTCGGGGGCGGCCTGTACTTTCGAATGGAAGATCGGTGGGGAACGGGAGTGAAGGTGGTCCGCCAAAGCGCCCTGCTATAAATACCGAGAGGGGCCCGGGAAGACACCGGATAGCCAGGCAGCGTTGCAAGGCTTGGGCCTGACAGCACATTATTTATGCGCCTATGCGCTTAGGAAGGCAAGCAGGAAGGAAGGAAGGACGCCTGGGAAAAGCAGGCTTCTAGCTCCCAAGTTGGTTCATGCTCTGCAGCCATCTTTGTGCCTTCTCCCCATTCATTTATCTCACCCACTTGTGACACCTTGGATGGAGTACTTCCTAATTCTTTTGCATGTTGCTGGAGATTTATTTAATGGTGTTGTAAATTAGTTAAATTAGCCTCCCTGCATAAAGCGGTACCTACATTTCCTACTTGACTGATGCAGATGTCTTTTGGGCTGCATAGGTCAACAGCAAGCTAGACTATTAGTGGTCGGGAGCTCACTCCGACCCGAGCTGGCTTCAAACTCATGACCTCTGGGTCAGTAGTGATTTAATGCAGCTGGTTGTATATCTCTAAGTTGTTTTGTTTTGGGAGGGATGTGCCTCTGTCTCACTGCGTTGTGTCTCCTCTCTCCGCCCCCCAGGAGATTGCGTCCTATTTGATCACCTTTGAGAAACATGAGGAGTGGCTCTCCTGCTCCCCCAAAACCAGGTAAGGGCCCCCACGCTCCCCAATGACCCCGCCTCTCACAAAGGGGGCTGGATTTCGGGAAGGGGGTATCCCATGCGCCAGACGTGCGCCAGCTTGCTCCCTCCCTCCAGGGGCTTTGGAGGTCATGCCTGCTTCTCCCTCTTCTTCTCCTCCTTCCTCCTCCATTTCACCCTCTTCTTCTTTCGTCCTCCTTCCCTCTCCTTCCTTTTCCTCTTCTTCCTCCATTTATCCTTCTCCTTCTTTTCCCCTCCTTCCTTCTCTCCTTCCTCTTCTCCTTCCTCCTCCCTTCTTTTTCCCCTTCTCTCTTCCTCCCTCTCTTCTTCCTCCTTTCTTCTCCTCTTCTCCCCTTCTTCCTTTTCTTTCTTCTCTTCTTTTGTCCTCCTTCCTTCTCTCCTTCCTCTCCTCCTTCTCCCTCCAATTCATCTCCCCTTGACCTCTTTCTTCCCTCCTTTCTCTTCTTTTTCCCCCATTTCTCCTCCTGTTATCATCCTCCTTCCTTCTTTTCTTCCTCCATTTCGTCCCCTTCTTCCTTCTCTTCTTCTGCTCTATTTATTTTCCCCTTGACTTCTTCCTTCCTTCTCTCCTTTCTCTTTTACTTCCTCCATTTCTTCTCTTCTTCCTCTCCTTCCTTTTCTTCTTCTGCTTCATTTATTTTCCCCTTGACCTCTTCCTTCTCTCCTTCCTCTTCTCCTTCTTCCTCCATTTCTCCTCCTCTTGTCCCTCTCATTCCTTCTCTTCTCCTTCTTCCTCCATTTCATCATCATCTTCTTTTTTTGTCCTTCCTCTTCCCCTTCTTCCTCCATTTCGCCTTCTTCTATCCTCTTTCCTTCTCTCCTTCCTCTTCTTCGCCTACCATTTCTTTTCTCCTTGACCTCTTCCTTCCTTTTCTCCTTCTTCCTCCATTTCTCCTCCTTTTGTCATCCTTCCTTCTCTTTTTCCTCCATTTCTCCTCCTTCTCTTGTTACCCTCCTTCCTTCTCTTCTTCTCCTCCTTCTCCCTGCATTTCATCATCTTTTGCTTTTGTCCTTCTTCCTCCTCCTTCATTTCAACCTTTTCTTTCTCTTTCCACCCCTCCTTCTCTCCTTCCTCCTCCATTTCTTCTCCCCCTGAAATCCTCTTCCTTTCTCCTTCTTCCTTCATTTCATCATCATCTTCTTTTGTCCTTCTCTTTTCTCTTTCCTTCCTCTTCTCCTTATTCCTCTTTTCTTTCATTCTCTCTTTCCTCTTCCTCAATTTCTACTCCTCTTGTCCCCCTCATTCCTTCTCTTCTTCTCCTTCTCCCTCCATTTCATCATCATCATCATCATCTTTTGTCCTTCTTTTCTCCTTCCTCTTCTCCTCCTCCTTGTGTCCTTCTTCTGTCCTCCTTCCTTCTTTCTTTCCTCCTCCCTTTCTTCTTCCCTTAACCTCCTCCTTCCTTCTCATTCTCCCTCTTGTTTCATCACCTTCTTCTTTTGTCCTTCTTCCCCTTCTTCTTCCATTTTGCTCTTTTCTTCTTTTTGTTCCTTCCTTCTCTTCTTTTCTCTTTCTTCGTCCCTTTTTTCTCCCCTTGACCTCCTCTTTCCTTCTCTCCTTCTCCTTCTCCTTCCATTTCATCATCCTCTTCTTTCGTCCTTCCTCTTCCCCTTCTTCCTCCGTTTCCCTTCTTCTGCTTTTGTCCTTTCTTCTTTCCTTCTTCCTCCCTTTCTTCTCCCCTTGATCTTCTCCTTCCCTCTCATTCTCCCTCTTTTTACCATCCTCTTCTTTCATCCTTCCTCTTACTCTTCTTCCTCCATTTCCCTTCTCCTTTTGTCCTCCTTCCTCCTCCTCTTCTTCCTGCCTTGACCTTCTCCTTCCTTCTCATTCTCCCTCCGTTTCATCATCCTCTTCTTTCGTCCTTCCTCTTCCCCTTATTCCTCCGTTTTCCTTTGTCTCCTTTTGTCCTCCTTCCTCCTCCTCCTCTTCTTCCATTTCTTCCTCCCTTGACCTCCTCCTTCCTTCTCATTCTCTCTCTATTTCATCTTCTTTCGTCCTTCCTTTCCCCCTACTTCCTCCGTTTCCCTTTGTCTCCTTTTGTCCTCCTTCCTCTTCTCCTTCTTCCTCCCTTTCTTCTTCCATTATCCTCCTCCTTCCTTCTCATTCACCCTCTGTTTCATCATCCTCTTCTTTCGTCCTTCCTCTTCCCCTTCTTCCTCCACTTCCCATCTTCTCCTTTTGTCCTCCTTCCTCCTCTTCTTCTTCCTCCCTTGACCTTCTCCTTCCTTCTCTCCTTCCTCCCTTCCCGCCAGGCCCCAGAACGGCTCCATGATCCTGTACAACCGCAAGAAGGTGAAGTACCGGAAGGACGGCTATTGCTGGAAGAAGCGGAAGGACGGGAAGACCACGCGCGAGGACCACATGAAGCTCAAAGTCAAGGGCCTCGAGGTACAGGACGCGGCTCAGACTCAAGCTCTCTTTGGGACTCTGTGCTGGGGATTAGAGGAGCTGTGGATGGAAGGGAATGATGGGAGTTGTGATCCCAAATCCAAAAGGTGCACCGTTGAGACTTCTAAGGTTTGTTTAAGACCAGCATGGGCCAACTAGGGCCCTCCTCCAGGNATTCCTGTGTTAAACGGTTGTCGCCTCCATCCTAAATGATGGTCGTCTCCATGCTAAACCTGGTCACTAGTGCCTCTCCCTTTCCTCCGCAGTGTCTCTATGGCTGCTACGTCCATTCGTCCATCGTCCCCACATTCCACCGGCGCTGCTATTGGCTCCTGCAGGTATGATTGCGTGTGCGGGATCCGTGGCCCCCAATGGCTTTATAATCATGGCCTTTTTTGTGACCCAAAGTATCACCCGTATTTCCTCGAGTCGCATGCGCCATTGCATCGAATGCGCACCTCCCTTTTCAAAACCCTGAAATCAAAAGAAGCATTTGCTGCTGAATGGAATGTGCAAAAAGAGGCAAAAAAAGTGTGCTCTTTGCAATTTGGCCAAAAAAAAAAGAAAAAGTCAGCATTAGATTCAAGTACATATGGGTTTTTAAATTCGTTAACCTGTATATTTATTAATATTTTTTTTCGCCAGAAATCATCATTATACAATTTGTAAAGGCAGTTGTTTTCCAACATGTCATTTATATATATTATATATATTAAATATATTATTATCACCCATATATATATATATATATATATACACACACACACACACACACACACACACACACACACACATACATACATACATATATATATATACATACATACATACATACATACATATACATACTAGCTTGGGGACTCGGCGCTGCCCGGGTTATTAGAGAAAGGAATTGTATATCAAGGTTGGTGTTTATCAGTTATTTATATGGCTCGCAGTGGTCTCAGGAAGTTAGTGAAGGTACTGTGAGTCCCATCATCTGTGGTCCATCGTCCTCCAAACTGCACCAGGATGGAGAGAGGGTCATGGGGGCTCTGTGTGCTAAGTTTGGTCTTGATCAGTCATTGGATGAGGGTCACAGCAGTCTCAGAAAGTGAGTTAAGGTACTGCAAGTCCCATCATCCATAGTCTGTTCTCCCCCAAACCTCACCAGAATGTTGAGTTGGCCATGGGGGCTCTCTGTGCCAAGTTTGGTCTTTATTGGTATTTGGATGAATGTCACTGTGGTTTCAGGAAGTGAGTGAAGGTACTGCAAGTCCCATCATCCATTGTCCGTCCTCCTCCAAACAGCACCAGGATGTAGAGTCTCTCATGGGGGCTCTGTGTGCCAAGTTTGGTCTTGATTGGTCATTAGATGAGGGTTGCAGCAGTCTTGGGAAGTGAGTGGAGGTACTTGAAATCCCATCATCCATAGTCTGTTCTCCCCAAACCTCACCAGAATGTTGAGTTGGCCATGGGGGTTCTGTGTGCCAAGTTTGGTCTTCATCAGTCATTGGATGAGGGTCTCAGTAGTTTCACTAAGTGAGTGAAGGAACTGCAAGTCCCATCGTCCATGGTGCATCATCCTCCAAACCGCACCAGGATGTAGAGTGCATATCATGTAATTATTATTATTATTATTATTATTATTATTATTATTATTATTATTGTGTTTATTTCTACCCCAAGGCGGCTTCCATTAAGAGCATTTCAATAACTTTGACTATGTTTTCATGGCCGAGCTGCACATCCCAGGGCTCTGTGGGATTCGGCCCTGCTGTGTTGCTTGTGGGGTGTGCCTGGGGGTCCCTCTTCCCCTTCCCTGTCGGCTGGGCTTCCCAAGGGGCTTCCCTTCTTTCCGTGTTTCCTGCAGAACCCGGACATTGTGCTGGTGCACTACCTGAACGTGCCGGCCATTGAGGACTGTGGGAAGCTGTGTGGGCCGGTCCTGTGCTCCATCAACAGTGACCGCAAGGAGTGGCTGAAGTGGTCCAAGGAGGAGCTGGTGGGGCAGCTCAAGCCCATGTGTGAGTCGGGGGCATAGATGGATGGGGGGAAGGAAGGATGGCTGGGAAGAAGGATAGAAGGTAGGATAGAAGCAGTAAAGGAAGGTTGGAAGGATCGAAGGAAGGATGGATGGAAGGAAGGAAGGATAGAAGGAGCAAAGGAAGGAAGGATGGAGGATCAAAGGAAGCATCGAAGGATGGATGGATGGAAGGAAGGCTGGAAAAAAGGATAGAAGATAGGATAGAAGCAGCGAAGGAAGGGATGGAGGAAGGATGGAAGGTAGGATCAAAGGAAGGAAGGAAGGAGAAAAGGTAGGAAGGATGGATCAAAGGAAGCATCGAAGCTTGGATGGATGGAAGGATTGATTGAAGGAAGGAAGGATGAAAGGACTGGATGGAAGAAGGGATTGAAGGAAAGAAGGATGGAAGGAAGGAAGGATCAAAGGAAGGATGGAAGGGATGGAGGAAGGATTGAAGGAAGCATGGGTGGAAGGAAAGATAGAAGGAGCGAAGGAAGGATGGAAAGAAGGTTGGAAGGATCGATGGAAGAAGGAATGGAAGAAAGGGGGATTGAAGGATGGATGGAAGGAAGGAAAGATCGAAGACTGGATGGAAGGAGGGATCAAAGGACGGAAGGCTCAAAGGAATGATGTAAGGTAAGATAGAAGGAAGGGAGAAAGGATCAAAGGAAGGATGGAAAAGGTTGGAAGGAAGGGATAGAGGAAGGAAGGATGGAAAGTAGGATCGAAGGATGGATGGAAGGAAAGATAGAAAGAGTGAAGGAAGGATGGAATGAAGGTTGGAAGGATCGGTTGGTAGGGATTGTAGGAAGGTTAAATGAAAGGTTGGAAGGTAAGATGGAAGGAAGGAAGGATGAAAGAAAGGATGGATGAAAGGGAGGACTGATGGATGGATGGATGGAAGGAAGGAAGGAAGGCAGGATCAAAGGAAGGAAGGAAGGAGGACTGAAGGAAGGAAGGTAGGAAGGATAAAAAGATAGGATGGCATTGCAGGAAAGAAGGATGGAAGGAAGGCTCATAGGAAGAATGGAATGTAAGATGGAAGGAAGGAAGACTGGATGAAAGGATAGAAGGTAGGAAAAAAGCAGCAAAGGAAGGAAGGATCAAAGGAAGCATCAAATGAAGGCTGGAAAGAAAGAAGGAACGATCGAAGGTTGGATATATGGATGGATGGATGGATGGATGGATGGATGGATGGATGGATGGATGGATGGAAGGATGGATGGAAGAATGGATGGAAGGATGGATGAATGGGTGGAAGGATGGGTGGGTGGGTGGATGGAAGGATGGATGGAAGGATAGATGAATGGGTGGGTGGATGGATAGATGGAAGGATGGATGGAAAGATGGATGGATGGCAGGGAAACTGGGTGGAAGGAAGATCGAATGGATGGAAGGATTGAAGGAAGAAAAGACTGAAGTATCAAAGGAAGATAGGCAGGATGGAAGGTTGGAAGGAAGGAAGATCAAAGGAAGGAAAGATGGATGGAAGGAAGGAAGGAAGGATATCTTTTGAAGAGGAATGCCTTTAAGGTCAAGCCAGGGGGGTGCGGTGGTTTTTCACTTTCAATAAGTTTTCTTGGATTTTACTGTGAATTTTTAACATATTGTTTATATTTAATTTTGTTTTCATCTTTGCATATTGTGATACTTGGAGGGAGGGCTGAAGTTGGCCCAGGCCTGTTTTACACTCAAGAGACTTTGGATAATTGACATCTCAGTCCCTTTGAATTAGAATAGAAATGTTTGCAAGCTTGGTTATTGAGATTTTTTTTAAAAATTCATAAAAGTCTGTGTAGTGTCCAAAAGAAGAAGAAAGGACGACAGTGTCACCGAGCGAACTCTCACCGGCGCGTGTGTTCCTTTCCCCTCTCTGTGCCCACAGTTCACGGGATCAAGTGGACCTGCAGCAACGGGAACGGGACGGCCGAGTTCTCCATCGAGCAGCTGGTGCAGCAGATCCTGGAGAGCCACCAGGCCAAGCCCCTGCCACGCACCCACGCCTGCCTCTGCACCAGCGGACTCGGTCAGCACGCTTCTCCGGGTCGTGGCCTAAGTACTCGTTGTGCCCTCCTTCCTTTGAAAGTGGTTGCTCTTCCCCAGGAAGTTTGTTTTTGTGGCTGCCACAAACGAGGTGGAATGGGTCGAGAGTCCTTGATGAGATATACTGTATATACTCGAGTATAAGCCAAGGCTCCTAATTTTGCCACAAAAAACTGGGGGAACGTATTGACTTGAATATAAGGATGGGAAATGCAGCCACTACGGGTCAATCTATATAAATAAAAATGTAATGTTAGTTTGTGGGATTAACATAATTCAAGAACCACTGGACAAATTGACACCAAATTTGGACACAAGACTCCTTTCAGGCCAACAAGTGACCATCACTCATAAAAACACAGGAGATAACGCTTGGGATAAATAGATATAATAATAATAACAACAACAACAACAATAATAATAACGGTTCCGGCCCAAGATACCTAACTGACCGCCTCTCGACCTATGAGCCCACGAGGACTTTGAGATCTTCCGGGGAGGCTCTGCTCTCGATCCCGCCTGCTTCACAGGCACGGCTGGCGGGGACGAGAGATAGGGCCTTCTCGGTGGTGGCTCCTCGGCTGTGGAACACCCTTCCCGTGGACATCAGGCTAGCTCCCTCCCTGTTGATATTCCGCAGGAAGTTAAAGACCTGGCTGTTTAAGAAGGCATTTGAACAAGAAGTGCAATGATTGGTAATTTGACCATAGGAATGGAACAACGGAAATGATACCGGATTGTGGGTTTGACGATGAGACGACACGGAATGGCTTTTGTAGGAATGTTGATGTTTTTGATGAGATGTTTTTTGATAATGATGAATTGCAGATTATTTTACACTATGTTTGTATTTTGCACCTGTTTTTCTATGTTGTACACCGCAGTGAGTCGCCCTTGGGCTGAGAATTGCGGTATATAAGCGAAGTAAATAAAATAAATAAAGAAATAAATAATTTATTTTATTTATTTACTTTATTTCTATCCCGCTCTTCTCAGCCCTCAGGCGACTCAAAGCGGTGAACAACATCGATACAAAACATCACGAGACAAGTATAGGGCAATTAAAAACAATTGTAACATAAATCATTAAACATCCGTATAACAATCATTAGCACCTCAACAGTAAAATCAGAATCCAGTCTCGTCATCCATTATTCCGTATTCCTGTGTTCAATCAAATGCTTGTTTGAACAGCCAGGTCTTCACTTTCCTCCGAAACGCCAGCAGAGAGGGGGCCAATCTGATATCTGCAGGCAGGGCGTTCCACAGCCGAGGGGCCACCACTGAGAAGGCCCTGTCTCTCGTCCTCACCAAGCGCGCCTGTGATGCAGTCGGGATTGAGAGCAGGGCCTCCCCAGACGATCTTAGTGTCCTAGTCGGTTCATAAGAGGAGATGTGTTCGGAGAGGTAAGTAGGGCCAGAACCGTTTAGGGCTTTATAGGCTAAAACCAGCACTTTGAATTGTGCCCGGTAGCAAACTGGCAGCCAGTGGAGCTGGCGCAGCAGAGGAGTAGTATGCTCCCTGAGTGCCGCTCCTGTTAGCAACCTGGCTGCCGAGCGCTGGACCATCTGAAGCTTCCAAGCAGTCTTCAAAGGCAACCCCACGTAGAGAGCGTTGCAGTAGTCTATGCGTGATGTAACCAGAGCGTGGACTACCGTGGCCAAGTCAGACTTCCCAAGGTACGGGCGCAGCTGGCGCACAAGCTTTAACTGTGCAAATGCTCCCCTTGTCACCACCGAAACCTGGGGTTCCAGGCTCAGCGATGAGTCCAGGGTCACACCCAAGCTGCGAACCTGCGTCTTCAGGGGGAGTGCGGCCCCATCCAGCACAGGCTGTCACCCTATGCCCTGTTCGGCCTTGCGACTGACCAGGAGTACCTCCGTCTTGTCTGGATTCAGTTTCAATTTGTTCGCCCTCATCCAGACTGTCACAGTGGCTAAGCACCGGTTCAGGACCTGCACAGCCTCCCTAGTAGCAGGTGGGAAGGAGTGACAGAGTTGGACATCATCTGCGGGCATCATCCACGTACCCTGAAAGTCCGGATAATAATGCATCACACAGTTCTAGATGCTTGGGAAATGTTCAACTTGCAATTTTGTCATACGAAATCCAGCATATAGATCTCGTTTGCTGTGACATACTGTGTTTTTGGTGTCAGTCAAATAATAATCTGATCTCTTTCTTCGATAGAGCTACAAGCTGGGTAGATGCGGGGAATGCCGTGGATGTAGCGTACCTGGATTTCAGTAAGGCCTTCGACAAGGTCCCCCATGACCTTCTGGCAAGGAAACTAGTCCAATGTGGGCTAGGCAAAACTACGGTGAGGTGGATCTGTCATTGGTTAAGTGGACGAACACAGAGAGTGCTCACTAATGCTTCCTCTTCATCTTGGAAAGAAGTGACAAGTGGAGTGCCGCAGGGTTCCGTCCTGGGCCCGGTCCTGTTCAACATCTTTATTAATAACTTAGATGAAGGGCTAGAAGGCATGATCATCAAGTTTGCAGACGACACCAAATTGGGAGGGATAGCCAATAGTCCAGAGGACAGGAGCAGAATTCAAAACGATCTTGACAGATTAGAGAGATGGGCCAAAACTAACAAAATGAAGTTCAACAGTGACAAATGCAAGATACTCCACTTTGCAGAAAAAATGAAATGCAAAGATACAGAATGGGGGACGCCTGGCTCGAGAGCAGTACGTGTGAAAAAGATCTTGGAGTCCTCGTGGACAACAAGTTAAACATGAGCCAACAATGTGATGTGGCGGCAAAAAAAGCCAATGGGATTTTGGCCTGCATCAATAGGAGCATAGTGTCTAGATCTAAGGAAGTAATTCTACCCCTCTATTCTGCTTTGGTTAGACCACATCTGGAATATTGTGTCCAATTCTGGGCACCACAATTCAAGAGAGATATTGACAAGCTGGAATGTGTCCAGAGGAGGGCGACTAAAATGATCAAGGGTCTGGAGAACAAGCCCTATGAGGAGCGGCTTAAGAGCTGGGCATGTTTAGCCTGAAGAAATATAGGCTGAGAGGGGACATGATAGCCATGTATAAATATGGAGGAAGTCACAGGGAGGAGGGAGCAAGCTTGTTTTCTGCTTCCTGGAGACTAGGACGCGGAACAATGGCTTCAAACTACAAGAAAGGAGATTCCATCTGAACATTAGGAAGAACTTCCTGACTGTGAGAGCCGTTCAGCAGTGGAACTCTCTGCCCCGGAGTGTGGTGGAGGCTCCTTCTTTGGAAGCTTTTAAGCAGAGGCTGGATGGCCGTTTGTCAGGGGTGATTTGAATGCAATATTCCTGCTTCTTGGCAGGGGGTTGGACTGGATGGCCCATGAGGTCTCTTCCAACTCTTTGATTCTATGATTCTATGATTCTATAATACAAGATGTTGAGACTCCTCCGCCAGGGAAGGCCGATGCCTCACCAAACTCCAAGTCCCAGGATCACAGCGCATTGAGCCCAGTCATTGAATTAGAGGCGACACAATTCAATACATACTTAGAGTCAACTCCATTGAGAGCAAGAGGACCTGCCTTGGATTCCATTGCTGGGATTCCTCTCCCCACTTAGTTGACTTCGGTGGTCAGCCAACGAGGGAACGCTCCGCTCTCTTTGGCTTCATTTGGCAGATTAGTTTATGAAACGCGCATAAGTTTCTCACTTGACTGGAGCCATTGTTTTGGCAGAATAGAAGACCCATTCTTCCTCTGTGGGCCAGGCTTGGGTCACAGCTGGCGCCATGGAGAACACGGGTCTCTTAAGATATTAATAACAGCAATAATAATAATAATAATAATAATAATAATAATAATAATATTCCCATTGCAGAAGGGAGAGCTGTAATAATAATATAATTGAAAGACACAACAATAATCTACAGTGATTTTTTTTTGGAGCATGAGACTTGCTGGACCTCCCTTGCTCCCAGTTTGTGAGCCTCCCTTGCTCCCAGTTCCCTCCAGTTTGCAGCCCATTCTAGCATTGGGATGGCCTGCTGTGAGGAGCATTGGGTGCCCTCCAGTGGCGGAATCCTGAATTGCCAGAGCATGCCATGGAACACTCCCGGCAAAACCTCCACTGGGTTTTGATTGTTTTTGCTGCTTTGAGTTCTCTTTGAGAGAAAGAAAGTGGGATCTGAATTCCCATCATCATAACACACTCTTGCATTTATGAATAAGTGTCCAAATAATACTTTGGTTGTCTTGGGCTATTGGCAGGCCTTGAAGGGGATTTTGCTCTCATTCTCTACCTCTTTCCTTTTTTCCTTCGCTCCCTCTTTCCTTCCTTTCCTTTTTTTTCTTTCCTTCTCTCCTTCCTTCCTTCCTTCTCTACCTCCTTCTTCCCTTGCTTCGCTCTTTGCTTCCATGCTTCCTTCTCTCTTTCCTTCTTTCCTTCCCTCCCTCATTCTCTCCTTCCTTCACTCCCTCTTTCCTTCCTTCCCTTTTCTCTTTCCTTCTTTCCTTCCCTCCCTCGTTCTCTCCTTCCTTCACTCCCTCTTTCCTTCCTTCCCTTTTCTTCTTTCCTTCTCTCCTTCCTTCCTTCTCTACCTCTTTCCTTTCTTCCTTCGCTCTTTGCTTCCATGCTTCCTTCTCTCTTTCCTTCTTTCCTTCCCTCCCTTGTTGTCTCCTTCCTTCGCTCCCTCTTTCCTTCCTTCCTTCCTTCCCTCCCTTTTCCTCTTTCCTTCTCTCCTCCTTCTCTCCTTTTCTTCCCTTCCTTCGCTTTTTGCTTCCATGCTTCCTTCTCTTTTTCCTTCCCTCCCTCATTCTCTCCTTCCTTCGCTCCCTCTTTCCTTCCTTGCTTTTTTTCTTTCTTTTTCTCCTTCCTTCTCTACCTCTTTCCTTCCTTCCCCCTTTTTCTTTTCCTTCCTTCTCTACCACTTGCCTTCCTTCCCCCCTTTTTCCTTCTTTTCTACCTTTCCTTCCTTCCTTCGCTTTTTACTTCCATCCTTCCTTCTCTCTTTCCGTCTTTCCTTCCCTCCCTCTTTCTCTCCTTTCTTATCTACCTTTCCTTCCTTCCTTCGCTTTTTGCTTCCATCCTTCCTTCTCTCTTTCCTTGTTCCCTTTTTCCTTCATTCCTTTTTTCCTTCTCTCCTTCCTTCCTTCTCTGCCTCTTTCTTCCCTTCCTTTGCTTTTTGCTTCCATGCTTCCTTCTCTCTTTCCTTCCTTCCTTCCTTCATCCTCTCCTTCCTTCGCTCCCTCTTTCCTGCCTTCCCTTTTTTCTTTCCTTCTCTCCTTTCTTCCTTCTCTACCTCTTTCCTTCCTTCCTTTGCTCTTTGCTTCCATGCTTCTTCTCTCTTTCCTTCTTTCTTTCCCTCCCCTCTCTCCTTCCTTTTCCTCTTTCCTTCTTTTCTTCTCCTTCTCTCCTTCTTCCTCCTACCTCTTTCTTTCCTTCCCCCCTTTTCTTTTTCTTTTCCTTCCTTCCTTCCTCCTTTCCTTCCTTTTCTCTTTCTTCCTTTCCTTCTCTTCCTCTTTCTTCTTTCTTCTCTTTCTTTCTTTCCTCCTTTCCTTCCTTCCTTCCCTCCCTCTTCCTTCCTTTTTCTGTATTGTCATTTATCTTTTTGTGTTTTTTCCACTTTTTGGGAGGGGGGGTTATGCATGAAGGTCAATCATTGGCCTTTTAGGGGTATAGTGTCCAAATTTGGTGTCCATTCGTCCAGTGGTTTTTGAGTTACGTTAATCCCACAAACGAATATTATATTTTTATTTAGAGAGCTCATTACTAGAGGAGGCTTGAAGAAGGTTGTCGTTTCCAAGGGTCTCTTCTGTGCGTGATTTGTCGTCCTCCTTTCCCCTTCCTTGGCAGGGAGCCCCAGCCACGTCCCGCACAAATGCAGCAGCAGCACCAAGCACCGCATCATCTCCCCGAAGGTGGAGCTCTGCCCCCCGTGCCCCTTCCCGGCGCTCACCAAGACCCACGTCGTCCCGTCGGAGGAGGCCAAAGTGGAGCCAGAGGCACCCAGAGCCTCGTCTTCGTCGTCAACCTCTTCCTCCTCCTCGTCCTCTGAGGGCCACAGGGAGCCCCGTCTGGCCAAGGCGGCTTCCCCGGATGGCGACCCTCTTGTCCCCAAACAGGAGCTTCCGTCCGCCTCCCTCTCGGTGGGACTTCCAGGTGGAACCAACGGCAGTGGGGCCCTCCTGGTCATGGCCGGCGTGAGAGGCCCTCCCGAGAAGCCTCTAGCCTTGACCCCCAGCCAACAGCTGCTCTCCCGAGAGGGAGGTCATGGCGAAAGCGCGGCCCCCCCGGCGACCCCTCTGGGCCTGGCTTTGCTCTTGGGACCGGGCCTGGTCCTCTCGCAGAACCTGGACTCCAGTATGGAGACCGCGGAGTCGGGACCCGCCGAGCCGGACGCGGCCTTCGACCCGGACTGCTTCCTCAACAGCCCCAAGGAAGGCGAGACTTACGGCGGGGGCACCAAACCGGAGCCGCCGCCGTCGGAGAACAACAACAACAGCGGTAACGCCACCGCCCTCCAAGGCTACTCGGTCTTTGTGCCCAGCACCAACCGCTTCTTCATCCAGGACGATGGCGGGGCCCGGCCCGCGGCCGCCCTCTTGCCCCCCTCGCCTCCGCCGTCCTCTTCTGCCGGGACGGAAGAATGCAAGAGCAGCCCCCCGGAGACCCCCATGGAGACCACCCCCACCGCCGGGGAAGAGGAGCCCCAGGGCGACGAGGGGCCTCCCACGGAGATTTCGGCCACGGAGCTGCAGGAGGAGCTCTACTCCATGATCCAGACGGCGGCAGTGGCGGCAACTGCCTCTCCCTCAACCGCCTCCTTCGGCCTCTCCTTCGACAACCACTTCCCGGACCTCATTGGCGAACTCATGACGGACGAGAGCGGGGCGGGCGGCGGCGGAGACGGAACCTCGGAAGGGAACGGCAGTGGTGGAGGGAGGCAGAGCCCCGGGAGGGTCCTCTCTGCGGGGGAGGATCTGGGCGAGGAGACCCCACAGCAGTCGTTGGCCTCCATCACGGACTTCTCCCCTGAATGGTCCTACCCAGAGGTCAGTGCAGTGCGGCTGGGAGGGGAGGGGGTGGGGGTCTGGAGTTTTTTTTGGGGGAGGGACTGAGGCATTGTGGGGAGGGGCTACTATAAGGAGGTTTGTGGATTTGTGTCTGTGGGGCCGTGCAGGCTTCATAGGAGCTGCCTCCAAAGCCCATTAGGATTGTGTTTACGTTCACATGTTGATGATCTATTTCAGGTATGGGCCAACTTGGGCTCACCAGGTGTTCTGGACTCCAACTCCCATCATTCCTAACAGCCTCAGGCCACCTTCCTTTTCCTGCTCAACCACCTAAGCACCTGGACTGTGGTGCAACTGGCTGGCAGTCAGTTGCATTAGATTACTACTGACCAAAAGGTTATGAGTTCGAAGCCAGCCTGGGTCAGAGTGAGCTTCCGACCAAATTGTATAGCTCTCTGTCGACCTTTGCAGCCCGAAAGACAGTTGCATCTGTCAAGTAGGAAATTTAGGTACCGCTTACGTGGGGAGGCTAATTTAACTAATTTACGGCACATAAAAATGTCCAGCAAACATGCAAAGAATGAGGAAGTACATCAGTGTCACAAATGGACGGTGAAGCAACAGCTCCCCTGGTGGCCAGAATACCCTCATGAAACTAGAATGTTAAATGTGTCACTTTGCCAGTGTTGCAACTCAGAGTAAGCTTCACCTTGCTTCCAAACACCACCACGCAACAGCTGTAGTTTTATAGTTTATTGAGGAAAAAATCCAAGTCAAAATAAAGAATAAGCATCGCAAAGTTCCAAAGATTCAGGTTAAATGCAGAATATAGTTCCAAAGATCTTCAGGGAAAAACAAGGGGCACAATCCTATAGGCAGAGCTCAAAACAGAGTCCAAGGTACCAGCACTGAAGCAATTGCCCCAAGAATCACAATGCAAGAAATCCCAAGCGTGCTGCTTTCCAGGTTAAGGTTATTCCATGAAGCTTTCAGGCTAGTAAGCTACGTTGAACTGACGCTATTTCTAGGTTTGCAAGAAGCCTAAATACCTTTCTAACATGAAAACATTATGCTCTCACCAACATGAAAGCATTGCGATGACCTTTCCCCGAGCTGGCTTCTTGTCTGCTGGCCAGGCGAGAACTCCGCCTGACCCGCAAATCAAGACGAGCTTGCTGGGTCAGGTCACTATCAAGGCTTTCTGCACTTTCAGTATCAGCGTAAGAAGGAGGCAAATGCCTCCCCACCTGTTTGCTATCTCCTTCGTTAAAATTATTTTCTTCTGAGAACCGCTGTGTTGACTCTGCACTGTCTGTGGGAGCCACAGAAAAAGAGCCAGGAATCTGAATCCCATCATCCTCATCATCAGAGTACATCTCAGCCACAAAAGCCAGGGCTCTGCCTTATTTAGATAAAGATGAACCAAACTCCCAGTTTTATCAAACCGTTTAATTAAAACAGCACTTACTTGCTGGCTGTTTTAATAGACCAAAATATGACAATACTTCTCCCCCAAAGATCAGTTCCAAGGTTAGCTCCTTAAATCCAGTCACACCCAGCTGCAACCTATCTCCTGCATACCTCCACCCTTAATTGCTTTCACCTGTAAACTGTGACTTACAAACTACTCAGCCCTTTAGAAGCAAGACTTACAATAACCCTTCCATCACCAACTGCCAGAACATATGGCAAAATGGCCTCTGTGTGTCTGTCTGTATATGTTGTGTGTCTATGGCATTGAATGTTTGTACGTTGTAATCCGCCCTGAGTCCTCTGCGGGGTGAGAAGGGCAGAATATAAATACTGTAAATAAATAAATAAAGGAAAGGGCCTGAAGCTGTTAGGAATGATGTGAGTTAGAGTCCAAAACACCTGGAGGAAGGCTGAAGTTTGCTCATGCCCGATCTACTTAATTTCATTTACTGTATTTGTTTTTCCACTTTTCATTGGCACGTAGGGGCTCAAGTTGGCTAGCAGCACACTTGACACAATACAATCCAAACACAGCAAATGCATTAATATTTGGGTACGGTTCCGTTATCTAGGCGGAGGCCACTAGGGGGTGATAGAGAGAGAAGAATAGTCCATTTTACAGGTAGGGGGTTGAAGGAGGAAAATCATCCCCCCTCCCCATTTTCACTGATTATTTCCCCTCTCCACTTCCTATATCATAAACTCGGGCTGTTTCCACAGTGGCGACGTGGGTGGAGGGGAATAACAGGAAAACGGGGGGAATTGGTATTTCTCCTTCAACCCACTCTCCACCCCTATAAAATGGCTCTAGCACCCCCTAGTGGCCTTCGCCCAGAGAATGGAACAGTACCCAAATTTTTCACTGTAGCACCTCCTAATGGCCTCCACCCAGATAATGGAACAGTACCAAAATGTCAATTCAGGCCATCCCTGTGTTACAAACTTCCAACTTAGAAATGACTCCCAGTTCAGAACGGGGCTGAGACAACAGGAAGTGAGAGGAGTCTGCCCCTTGGAAGAGAAATTCACTCCTGGGGAAAAGGGGTCTATGCTTTGACTTTACCCCCAAACCTTCTTGCCACAACAAGTCAGATTTTGCAAAATCCAATCATCGCAGGGACAGGGGTGTTCGCCCTTTATGCTCTCCAAAACATGTATGCGCACACACACCCATACACACACCCACGTATTTACACATACATATATAAAGAGAGGGAGAGAGAGGGAGAGAGAGAGAGAGGGATCATTGGAGTGACACTTTAAAAAGTTCCCATTCCGACTTATATTTATTTATTTACATTATTTATGTTCTGCCCTTCTCACCCCAAAAGGACTCAGGGTGGATCACAATGCACACATACACAACAAATATTCAATGCTGTTTCTAGACATACAACACAGACAGACAGATAGAAGTATTTCGGCATTTTCCAACTTCGGCGCTCGGAGGTTATGCTCGATTCCAGCCACAGGGGGGTGCTGTTGCTTCATCCACTATAACGCTGAACCCTTTTGATTGTATTTCCTTTTTGTTCTTTAATCTATGGCATTTTCTTGGTGTCATAAAATACCTCCCTGCTTTAAGGGGTACTTAATTTCTCTACTCACAGCTCAGCTGTTTTTGAACTGCTTAGGTAGACAGTAAGCTAGGCTTAACAGTCGGGTGCTCAATCCAACCTAGGCTTCGAAATCACCACCTTCCGGTCGGCAGAGATCTATTTCTGCTGGTGATTGTCCAGCTGTGCTGTAGGTTTGTTCTTAAGTTGAATAATAATAATAATAATAATAATAATAATAATAATAATAATACTTTATTTGTACCCTTCTACCATCTCCCCAAGGGACATGGTGCGGCTTACATGAGGCCAAGCCCGCAGTACATCAATAAATAAAGGCAATAACAAAATAATCAATACAAAACAGTTAAAATAAATCTCATAAACAAAAAATAAACAATAACATACAAGCATTTAAAAACGTATGGCCAAGGCAAATGGAATAATTTAAAATTTTTAAAAATAATGCTGGGCATGAACAAGGTAGGGTATAACTAGGAAAGGGTTTTCCAAGAAAGATGAGGGCGCAAATACAAATTCAACTTAAGAACGAACCTACAGAACGTCTCCTGTTCTTACATTATTTGTGTCATGTAGCCCAAGAATATTAAAATACATTTCAAAGCTACCCAGCTGCCCCATGGCATCCTCCTCATCCTGCCTGTCATAAACAACTGATGGCAGAGGTTGGCTTTCATTGCCTGCAGAAGAAGGCCCTCCGGGTCTTTCTCCCTGGGGTCTGGGAGCAACTCTCATTCCTTCCAAATCACTGACCCTCTCTTTCCTCCTTCTATGGGTCCCAGGGGGGCGTGAAGGTGCTGATCACGGGGCCCTGGGTGGACCAGGCCGAGCCCTACAGCTGCCTTTTCGACCAGATCTCCGTCCCGGCCGCCCTCATCCAGTCCGGAGTGCTGCGCTGCTATTGCCCAGGTGACAAGGCTTTGGGGTGGGGGCTGCTTCTCGGTCTGTGTGGGGGGAGGTGGGATCCCTCTATCCCAACTTACCTGTCTGGCCCAACTTACCTGTCTGAACGTATCTCCCCTTATGAACCTGCAAGGACTTTAAGATCATCTGGAGAGGCCCTGCTCTTGGTCCCACCATCATCACAAGCACAGTTGGTGCGGACAAGAGACAGGGCCTTCTCAGTGGTGGCTACTCGGCTGTGGAACGCCCTTCCTATGGAGATTAGGTCAGCTTCTTTGTTTTTAGCAAGACATGGCTATTCGAGCAGGCATTTGCGAATACTGAGTAACGGACATAAGAACGAAACAACTACAAGATGGGATTGGACATTGTTTTAATGAGTATTTATGGAATTATGTTTTATTCCAGCTGTTATGTTTTTATCGACGTTAATTTTTTTATATTGTAATTGTGTTTTTGATGGCATTGAATTTTGCCTTGTAAACCGCCTCGAGTCGCCGGAAGGCTGAGAGGGGCGGTTTACAAATACAATAAATAAATAAATAAATATCCCAGGCATGAGCAAACTTGGGCCCTCCAGGTGTTTTGGGACTACAACTCCCACAATTCCTAACAGCCTCAGGCCCCTTCCCGCTGTTCGGGGAAGCCTCACATTTACTCAGCATTCACTCCGCATACATTCATTCCCATCCATACTCACCATCTTTCTTCATTCAGTCCAGTGTGGGCGAGACAAAACTGCGGTGAGGTGGATCTGGAATTGGCTAAATGGACGAACCCAGAGAGTGATTCTCCCCAAGGCTTCCTCCTCTTCATCTTAGAAAGAAGTGACGAGCGGAGTGCCATCCACAGGGTTCCCTCCTGGGCCCGGTCCTGGTCAGGATCTTCATTCATGACTGAGATGAAGGGCGAGAAGGCAGGATCATCAAGTTTGCAGACGACACCAAATTGGGAGGGAGAGCCAATAGTCCAGAGGACAGGAGCAGGATTCAAAACGATCTTGACAGATTAGAGAGATGAATGGCCAAAACTAACAAAATGAAGTTCAACAGGGACAAATGCAAGATACTCCACTTAGGCAGGAAAAACGAAATGCAAAGATACAGAATGGGGGACGATGAGGCCTGGCTCGAGAGCAGTACGTGTGAAAAAGATCTTGGAGTCCTCGTGGACAACAAGTTAAACATGAGCCAGGAATGTGATGTGGCGGCAAAAAAAGCCAATGGGATTTTGGCCTGCATCAAGAGGAGCCTAGTGTCTAGATATAGGGAAGTAATGCTCCCCATGCTCTATTCTGCCTTGGTTAGACCACACCTGGAATATTGTGTCCAGTTCTGGGCACCACAATTGAAGAGAGATATTGACAAGCTGGAATGTGTCCAGAGGAGGGCGACTAAAATGATCAAGGGTCTGGAGAACAAGCCCTATGAGGAGCGGCTTAAGGAGCTGGGCATGTTTAGCCTGAAGAAGAGAAGGCTGAGAGGAGATATGATAGCCATGTATAAATATGAGAGAGGAAGCCACAGGGAGGAGGGAGCAAGCTTGTTTTCTGCTTCCCTGGAGACTAGGACGCAATGGAACAATGGCTTCAAAATACAAGAGAGGAGATTCCATCTGAACATGAGGAAGAACTTCCTGACTGTGAGAGCCGTTCAGCAGTGGAACTCTCTGCCCCGGAGTGTGGTGGAGGCTCCTTCTTTGGAAGCTTTTAAACAGAGGCTGGATGGCCATCTGTCAGGGGTGCTTTGAATGCAATATTCCTGCTTATTGGCAGAATGGGGTTGGACTGGATGGCCAGGAGGTCTCTTCCAACTCTTTGATTCTAGGATTCTATGATCTCGGAAGGAGGTGGATGTTCAGACTCTGCATCCCTCGCAGATCTGGCACACTTTTCAAAAAGAAAAGGGTCTCTTTATGTAGGACTTTTTTGCCCTTGTCTCTCTTGATTGTTTTGACAACTTGTAATTCAGCTCAGACTTGCTGAAGTTCCATCAATTCCAGAACAGATGTTGTATACATAGAGTATAACTGTCTCCATGATATTACAGAAACAAAATCAATACATACTTGTACAGGAGATTACGGACTTTTCTGGTGTAGCTCAATTTCTACTCCTTTCTAAATCCATCTTAGTCTCCTCCTTATACCTATCTTTATTATTATTATTTTACTGACACAAAAGCACAGTATGTCACAGCAAATGTGATCTGGATTTCATATCACAAAACCACAGGTCGAACCCTTCCCAAGCGTCTAGGACTGTGATGTATTTCCGAATGATGCGCGCAGATCCAAGTCAGGTGGTCTTTTGCAGTTGACAGATCATGATTTTGTCAATGTTTATTGTTTCCAAATGCTGGCTGAGATCTTTTGGCACGGCACCCAATGTGCCCATGACCCCTGGGACCACCCGGACTGGTTGATGCTGCCAGAGCCTTTGCAGTTTGATTTTGAGGTCTTGATAGTGACTGAGTTTTTCCTGTTGTTTTCCCTCAATGCGACTGTCACCCGGTATGGCAACATCAATCATCCAAACTTTTTTCTTTTCCTCCGTCGTGATGTCTGGCGTATTGTGTTCCAAAACTTTGTCAGTCTGGATTCAAAAGTCCTACAGGATTTTGGCGTGTTCATTTTTCACAACCCTTGCAGGTTTATGATCCCTTTACCAGTTCTTGACTCCTGGCAGGTGGTCCTTGTGACGTAAGTTAAGTGGACGAAACCAAAGGGTGATTCTCGTCTTCATCCTGGGAAGAAGTGATGAGCGGAGTGCCGCAAGCAGGGTTCCGTCCTGGGCCCGGTCCTGATCAGGATCTTCATTCGTGACTTGGATGAAGGGCTAGAAGGCAGGATCATCAAGTTTGCAGACAACACCAAATTGGGAGGGAGAGCCAAGACTCCAGAGGACAGGAGCAGGATTCAAAACGATCTTGACAGATGAGAGAGATGAAGGGCCAAAAGTAACAAAATGAAGTTCAATGGGGACAAATGCAAGATACTCCACTTAGGCAGGAAAAATGAAATGCAAAGAGACAGAATGGGGGACGATGAGGCCTGGCTCGAGAGCAGGATGTTTGAAAAAGATCTTGGAATCCTCATGGACAACAAGTTCAACATGAGCCAATGGTGCGATGCAGCAGCAAAAAAAGCCAATCGGATTTTGGCCTGCATCAAGAGGAGCCTAGTGTCGAGATCTAGGGAAGTCATGCTCCCCATGCTCTATTCCGCCTTGGTTAGATCACACCTGGAATCACATTGTGTCCAATTCTGGGCACCACAATTGAAGAAAGATATTGAGAAGCTGGAATGTGTCCAGAGGAGGGCGACTAAAATGATCAAGGGTCTGGAGAACAAGCCCTATGAGGAGCGGCTTAAAGAACTGGGCATGTTTAGCCTGAAGAAGAGAAGGCTGAGAGGAGACATGATGAGAGCCATGTATAATAAATATGTGAGAGGAAGCCACAGGGAGGAGGAGGGAGGGAGCTTCCTTTCTGCTTCCCTGGAGACTAGGATGCAATGGAACAAGGGCTTCAAACTACAAGAGAGGAGATTCCACCTGAACATGAGGAAGAACTTCCTGACTGAGAGCCATTCAGCAGTGGAACTCTCTGCTCCGGAGTGTGGTGGAGGCTCCTTCTTTGGAAGAGTTTAAACAGAGGCTGGATGGCTGTCAGTGTGCTTTGAATGCAATTTTTCTGCTTCTTGGCAGATTGGGTTGGGCTGGATGATGGCCCATGAGGTCTCTTCCAACTCTAGGATTCTATGATTCTATGATTCGGAGTCAATCAAACTTTTGCCTCGTCTATAATGCAGTCTTCCAGGTTTTAACTCTAGGATGGTGTCTCCAGCCTTGCCAGGCCTTCAGAAGCCCTTAGCTCGAGACCCCAATCTTCCAACTGCATTCACTCCACCTCCCAGAAGGGCCTCCCTTGGTCTGGGCATCTTGGGGTGGGTGCCCCACTCCTTGCAGGGTCCTAACACCCCTTTCTTTCTTTATTTCCTCCCTCTCTCTTAGCCCACGAGGCCGGCCTGGTCCCTCTGCACGTGGCTTGCAAGTCCCGCGTGGTCTCCCTCTCCGTCCTCTTCGAGTACCGGGCGAGGAACTTCTTAGCGCTGCCCAGCACACAGATGGACTGGCTCTCTTTGGACGGTGAGTGAGTGAGTGAGTCAGGAAGACGGGGCAGAGCGAGCAGGAGACGCAGCATTGCAGTGCTGTTGGGGCCAGGAAACGCAAAGTGTATTTCACAAGGAATTATTATTATTATTATTATTATTATTATTATTATTATTACTACTACTACTAGCCATCCCCTGCCACGCTTTGTTGTAAGCGTTGCTCTGGTGGTCATGGGGGTTCTGTGTGGGAGGTCTGGCCCAATCTATCATTGGTGGGGTTCAGAATGCTCTGTGATTGTAGGTGAACTATAAATCCCAGCAACTGCAACTCCCAAATGTCAAGATTCTATTTTCCCCAAACTCCACCAGTGTTCCCATTTGGGCATCTTGAGTCTTCGTGTAGAGTTTGGTCCAGATCCATCATTGTTTGAGCCCACAGTGCTCTCTGGATGTAGGTGAACTACAAGTCCAAAACCAAAGGACACTGCCCACCAAACCCTTCCAGTATTTTCTGTTGGTCACGGGAGAACTGTGTGCCAAGTTTGGTTCAATTCCATCGTCGGTGGGGTTCAGAATGCTCTGTGATTGTAGGTGAACTATAAATCCCAGCAACTACAACTCCCAAATGTCAAGATTCTATTTTCCCCAAACTCCTCCAGTGTTCCCATTTGGGCATATGGAGTCTTCGTGTAGGGTTTGGACCAGATCCATCATTGTTTGAGTCCACAGTAATCTCTGGGTGTAGGTGAACTACAACTCCAAAACCAAAGGACACTACCCACCAAACCCTTCCAGTATTTTCTGGTGGTCATGGGAGAAGTGTGTGCCAAGTTTGGCCCAATTCCATCTTTGGTGGGGTTCAGAATGCTCTTTGATTGGAGGTGAACTATAAATCCCAGCAACTACAACTCCCAAATGACAAATTCATTTTTTTTGAGTGAAGGACATACATTGGGTTGTTAGGTATCTTGTGTCCAAATTTGGTGTCAATTCGTCCAGTGGTTTTTGAGTTCAGTTAATCCCACAAACGAACATTACACTTTTATTTATATAGATGATGATGATGATGATGATGATGATGATGATGATGATGATTATTATTATTATTATTATTAAGATAAAGGTAATAGCTTCCCCTTGACATTAAGTCTAGCCATGTCAACTCTGGGGGTTGGTGCTCATCTCCATTTCTAAGCTGAAGAGCCGGCGTTGTCCGTAGACACCTCCAAGGTCATGTGGCCAGCACGACTTCATGGAGCGCTGTTACCTTTCCACTGGAGCATTACCTATTGATTGTTGAAGGCTTTCATGGCCCGAATCACTGGGTTGTTGTGTGTTTTATGGGCTGTGGGGTCATGTTCCAGAAGCATTCTCTCCTAACGTTTCGCCTGCATCTATGGCAGGCATCCTCAGAGGTTAGGAGGTCTGTGTGGGGTTGATATATCCGTGGAATAATGTCCAGGGTGGGAGAAAGAACCCTTGTCTGTTGGAGATAGGTGTGAATGTTTCCATTGGTCACCTTGATTAGCATTTGATGGCCTGGCAGTTTCAAGGTGTGCCTTGTTCCTGCCTGGGGGAATCCTTTGTTGAGAGGTGATTAGCTATTCCTCTCTGGAGTTCCCCTGTGTTTGAGTTTTTTTTATTTAGTGTTACAATTTTAGAGTTTTTTTAAAAAAATACTGGTAGCTGTTGCACTCCAGGTTAGGAAAAAGCCCTCTGACTTTGAAGAGCAAAGAAACAAATCTTCTTTTATTGAAGCTTAGTAAATAGCCAGAAGAAATAAATGCTTGTAAGAAAACAAGAAGGTTCCAGAAAGTAATGAGTCAGTAAAATGCAGTAACACAAAGAAATGTCCACACAAGTAACAAAAGCAATCCAAGACAGTGTTTATCCAGACAGGAATCCACAGGATGCAAAGACAATCCAAAAGGCTAAAAAAACTCCACAGGAACAAGACCCCTTGAACAGGATTTCTGTGGCACAAGAACTTGATTTCCAAACGATGCCTGATCTGACAGGTTTCCCCTTGAAGCAAACCTTATATCCCAAAACTCAGAAATTGGTTTTGCTTTCCCCCACATTTAGCCCTTATCAGACGAAGCTTTTCAGAGCGACGTAAACACTGAGTTTGCTGTCGATCCAGCCGCCTATTTTTCAGCTCCCTTTCTGGCTGCTCATTAAAATCCCCAGGTGTCAGATTCTTTTCCATACCCAAATCTCGAGAGCTCACAGAGAAAGGGAGTGAACCTTCATTGCTAGGCCCAGCAAGGATATTCTCATGAGAAACTGCCCTTTGCACTGGGGCCTCTCTGTCAGTGTCTAAATCATTGACCAAACCATCTCCATCTTGTACCTCAGCCTCGACACCATCATTTCCCTCATCATTTCCCACATCAGTATCCAGAAACACAAACACAGGCAGATTCCCCACAGTAGCCAAATTGTGTTCATTTTCATGGTTTCCTCCTTTCTGTTGACACTGTCCACCTGCATCTTCTGGATGTCAATGTCTTCTCTGTGTAGCCTGACACGGTGGTTGTGAGAGAGGTCCAGCGTTCCTGTGTTCTCCAATCATCTGCTGTGTCCAGGTTGGCTCATTGTGTGCTCTGCTCTGGCTGACTTCTCTGGTTGAATCAGTCTGCAGTGCCTTTCGTGTCCCTTGATTTGTACCTGGGCAATGCTGCTGCAATGGAGACTTGTCCACAGCTGCGTGGTACACGGTAGACTCCTGCCGAGGGAAGAGGATCCCTCGTGTCCTTTGCTGAACGGAGCATTGGTTGGATTTTCTTGGTGGGTCTGGAGATAGTTTGTAGGTTGTGTTTCTTCTTCAGCTTCCCTCTGCGGTCAGTGGTTCCCTTGATGTCTGGCGAGAACACTTTCCCTCTGGGGGGATCTTCGTCTTGACTCTCGTGGCTTCTTCTCGGTTGTCTTGCAGCTCTTCTGATGTCTGAGGTGGAGTCTCCATTGGCCTGGAGAGCCCAGTTGAGGTGGTTCAGTTCGTCTTGGAGGAGGTGGGCTTCGCAGATTCTCTTTGTGTGGTCTGCCAGGGCTTTAATGGTTCTTTCTTTGTTGACTTCAGCAAAGGACAAGAGGGATCCTCTCACCTCTGCAGGAGTCTACCATAGTTTAAGAAGGTTCAAGCAAGCATGGACCAACTTGGGCCCTCCCTCGAGGTGTTTTGGACTCCAACTACCACAATTCCTAACAGCCTACCGGCTGTTAGGAATTGTGGGAGTTGGAGTCCAAAACACCTGGAGAGAGGACTGAAGTGAGTCGCTTGTAAGTCGGATGTTTGTAACTCAGGGGCGGCCTGCATCCCAGCAGGGAAGGGAAGGGGAGAGATGGTTGGTGGCTTCGCTGTCGGAAAAAAACGTGCCGGCCAGCCGGGCCCGGCCTGGGCCGGTTCCAGGGTGTCGCCTTTCTTTCGAGGAGGGGGATATTCCTGGCACCTGGAGGAGGAGGAGGAGGGGGGGGGCTCCTTGTGTGCAATGGAAACTCAAGGGCCGAGTGGCAGCAGAGGAGGCGGCAGAGGTCAGAGTCAGGAGTTTCCATGACGGGGCAAAGCGGCCAGGAATAACAGGCCCACGCTGGCCGGCTCCCTGCCCACCCCTCCCCGCCAACACCGCTGGACCGCAGCCTCACGTCCCCCTCCTCCCTTTGCTCAAGGCAACATTGAGGAGGGGGTTTCTGCAAGGGACACACACCTGGGTTCTCCAGGGAGATCCTGAGTTGGAGTCCATCTCCACGTAGATAGACCCCTGCCCAATGTCCATGGGGGCATTGGGGAGGGGTCTCCTTGGAGTCCGGTGGAGCCTCCTTCCTTCTCTGGAGGGTTTTATGCAGAGGCCGGATGGCCATCTGTCGGGATGGCTTTGATTGTGTCCTCCTGCCTGGCAGAAAGAAGGGTTGGATAAGATGGTCCTTGGGGTCTCTTCCAACACCTTGGTTCTCCAGGGAGGTCCTGAGTTGGAGTCCGTCTCCAGGTAGATAGACCCCTCCCCAATGTCCATGGGGGCATTGGGGAGGGGTCTCCTTGGAGTCCGGTGGAGCCTCCTTCCTTCTCTGGAGGGTTTTATGCAGAGGCCGGATGGCCATCTGTCGGGATGGCTTTGATTGTGTCCTCCTGCCTGGCAGAAAGAAGGGTTGGATAAGATGGTCCTTGGGGTCTCTTCCAACACCTTGGTTCTCCAGGGAGGTCCTGAGTTGGAGTCCGTCTCCAGGTAGATAGACCCCTCCCCAATGTCCATGGGGGCATTGGGGAGGGGTCTCCTTGGAGTCCGGTGGAGCCTCCTTCCTTCTCTGGAGGGTTTTATGCAGAGGCTGGATGGCCATCTGTCGGGATGGCTTTGATTGTGTCCTCCTGCCTGGCAGAAAGAAAAGGTTTGGACTAGATGGCCCTTGGGGTCTCTTCCAACTTTAGGATTTTATCATCATCATCATGATCCTTCATGATGAGGATGACGGAGCCTCCTCCTCTGGGTTCTCTTCCCATTGTTGTTGTTGTTTGTATTGTCGAAGGCTTTCATGGCTGGAATCACTCAGTTCTTGTGGGTTTTTTCGGGCTATATGGCCATGTTCTAGAGGCATTTCTCCGAAAAAACCCACAAGAACTGAGTTGTTGTTGTTGTTACTATATTTATGTATACCCCGCTGTGTCTCTCCTGCAATACCATCATCATCTTCACCACCTTGGGGTCCCTTCCAACTTTAGGATTCTATTATGATCAACTTTGGTGGTGATGATCATAATGATGGAGCCTCCTTCTCTGGAGGGTTTTGAGCAAAAGTTGAATGGCCATCTCTTGGGAAGGGTCTGATTGTGTGCTTCTTCCCGGCTGAAAGAAGGGGGTTGGACTGAATGACCCTTGGAGTCCCTTCCAACATTAGGATTCTATCATCATCATCATCATCATCATCATCATCATCATCATCATCTTTGGCAATGATGATGATGATGATGATGATGATGATAATGGTGAACCCTCTTTAACTGGGGTCCCTTCCAAATTTAGGATTCTATAATCCTCTTTGATG